ATAAAATAAAATAAAATGCACACATGGGCAGATTATATGATAGACTGTCAGCCTTTTTTGTGCTAATTTTCTATTTCTACTTGGTCTATACTTGAAGAGAATTATTTCTAAATTGAATATATACAACAGTCCTGATCTTATGTTTGATACTTGTATAGAATCACTACTTCTCTGACTGATTAAATTGCTAATCTCCTAGTACTATGTTGGCTTCTTCTTCTAGGAAGGAAGAAATATCAATATCCAACATTAGTGGATTCAATAATATGTTTATCCAACCACACAACTGGTGTTTGTAAGTGGTAAATAAAAATTTACTTCTAATCAATTTGACTTTGTTGTCGGTAATTTAAATTTATAAGCTGTATAAAAACAAGAAAATACTTATCCTTGACATTTCTATTCACTGTGCTTGGTATAGTGAACTATGACAAACCATTAGTTAATTGCAGAGGAAATATATAATGCAAGTAAAAGATTCTTGAAAATTCTAACTTACTGATAAATTGATGAAGTTAAATATTTGGCAGATAAATATCTTTCAGAATGTTTTCATAGCATAATTTTGGTTTTGATAATTAATCTGATAATTTAGAAGATAACATTTTATTTTTAGAGTACAACTAAAATAATTTTTAATTTTGAAAATATATTATAAAATATTTAAATATCACTTTGATTCCTGTCCTGAAATAAGCAGCTTCATTAGGTACTATATGTCAATTTTAGACACTAAAGTTTTACCAACCTCTATATCCTTCAACTTTTGTAGTTCATTTTCCAGCACTGATTTCTCCTCTGATAATAATTCAAAATCATTTTGCATCTGTTTGTACTTCTAAAGAAAAATAATAATAATGAAGACCAAAGTTTTCATTAACTCTTTAAAAATAATGAATTATTGCTATTAATCTGTATAACAAAGCTATTATTAAGGTTAATAAAAACTAGGATTGGTAACGAATGAAAATATTCTGAAGACTATATAATATTACATATTAAGATTTCATAAATGAAGTGCTTCTGAGTAATAATAAATATAGTAAAATTAAAAGAACATCCCAAAGCTTTCCAGCTTACATTTTCATAGAAAACTTTTGAGTAAAGTGAGCAAACATTGTGTCTCTATTTAGGATAATGTAATACTGGCAATTTCTAGAGGCTATTAAAAACTCATGGACAAGGTGCAATTTCAAATTTAAAGTGACATACTCACAGCTTCTAATAAGCCTTGATCATCTTCAGCTCTGAAAAACATAATATAATATCGTATTATATCTATCAGTAATGTGCTAGACTTTTATATTTATGTTTTTATTTATGTAACACACCTAGATATTTTCTTTGTAAAGAGTTTAAAATAATACAATCAAGGTTAGAATACATTTCTGATTACTACTCCAAAAATCCATTGCTCTACCCAGAGATATTAATGCACGGCTATTATAGTTTCAGAATACATCTACATAACAGTGAAGGTACCTATTCAGTAGTATAATTTTATTGCTGGGTTAGAGTTCCATGTCTTTTTTTAAATACAAATTACCACTCTACATATTACTCCAAATTTATTTTTTCACTTAACATAATGTTTGATATCTAATTTATTAATAAGCAAAGATTTTTCTCATTCTTTTAAAATGCTATTCCATAGCAAAGGTTGCCAAACATTTTTTTGTAAAGAGTCAAACAGTAAATGTTTTAGATTCTGAAGGCCTAATGGTATGTACCACAACAATTCAATATGCAAAATCAAATGTAGATGATAAATAATGAGTGTCGCTGTGTTCCAATAATATTTAATTTATGAAAATAAGCTACAGGACAGATTTGACTTAGGGGTCACCATTTGCTAACATCTGTTAAATACTATGAATAAATGATAGATTTTTGACTAAGTTGGAATTTATAACAGCTTTAGTACGATATAGTTAATATTCCATACAATTCACTTTTTAAAAAAATATATAACTAAATGCCTTTTAATATATTCACCAAGTGGAGCAACCATTGCCACTAATCTAGAAAATTTTAGTTATCAAAAATTAAACTTCATACCCATTAGTACTCATTCTCCATTCCTCCTAGCACAGCCTATATATATAAACCAGTGGTTTGCTTTTTTATATAAATGTTTCTATTCTGGATAGTTCTAATCATACAACATGTGGTCTTTTGAGACTGGCTTCTTACACTTTGCATGTTTTCAAGGTCAATCTCTGTTGTAGCATATATTAGGACTTTGTTCCTATTTATTGCCCAATAATAATCTAGTGTGTGGATAGCCCACATTTTATCTCCCAAATCCTCAGCTTATGTACATTTCAATTATTTCTCCTTTTTAACTCTTATGAACTATGACATTATGAGCATTCATGTACAAGTTTTTGTATGACCATGTTTTCATTTTCCTCAAATACAAACCTAGAAATAGAATTCCTGGGTCATATGTTACCTCTGTATTCAGCATTATGAGAAAGTGACAATTAAAAAAAATTTTTTTCTAAAGTGAATGCTCCATTTAAATTCCTACCAGAAATGTCTGTGGGTCCTACATACTTGCTAACAGTCGCTATTTGTCTTTTAAGCCATCCTCATGTATATGAAGTAATATCTCATTATCACTTTGCTTTTCAATTTCCTAATGACTAATGAAGTTAAAAATATTCTACAAGTTTATCAACTATTTGTATTTCTCCTTTGAAGAAATATCTATTCAATTCCTTACCTATTTACATTTTTATTATTAAGGTGTGTTTTATATATGAATCCAATGCATACTGTTTGAATAAATAAACTTTCTATGAGTTGTTTTATCATTCTTTTTTATATTGAATATATAAAGAATCCTCTGTTAGAAGAATAGCTAGCAAAGATTTTCTCCATTGTGTAGAATTCTCTTCACATTCCTAATTTTTTCCTTGCTGTACATCCCATTTATTAATTCTTGACATTATTTCCTGAGCTTTATATGTCCTATTGAGAAAGTCATTGCCTATGTCTATATGTTGGATTATAGATCCTACATTTTCCTCTAAAGTTGATCTAATTCCCAGGTCTTTGATCCATTTTGAGTCATTTTTGTGGAGGGTGAGAGATAAGGGTCTAGTTTCATTTTTCTACATATGAATAATCAGTTGTCACAGCACCATTTATTAAAAATTCTGTTTTTCTCTAATTTATGTTTTTGGTACCTTTGTCAAGGATCAGGTGACTATAGATGTGTGGGTTTGTCTTTGTGTCTTCCATTCCTTACCACTAATCTATGTGCCTGTTTTTATGCCAGTACCATTGGAATTGATTTGCTCTTATTTTTCAAGGGCCTTGAGATGCAACATTAGGTTGTTTATTTGAGATCATTGTAGTTTTCTTATGTAAGTGTTCATAACTATAAACTGTCTTCTTAGAACTGCCTTCCAGAGGTTGTGATATATTGTATCACTATTCTCATTTGAGTCCAAGGATTTTAAAATTTCTCCTTTAACTTCTTCAATCACCCATCCATCATTCAAAAGTGTACTATTCAGTTCCTTAGCCCATTTACTGATTGAATTATTTGTTTTGTTTTTTTGATTCTTTATATATACTGGAGATTAGTGCTCTATCAAATGTGCATGTGGTAAAATTTGCTCCCATTCTGTAAGCTCTCTCTTCACCTCATTGATTGTTTCTTTTGCTGAGAAGAAGCTTTTCAATTTGAATCCATCCAATTTATTGATTCTTGATTTTACTTCTTGTGTTTTAGAAGTCTTGTTAAGGAAGTCAGATCCTAAGCTGACATGGTAAATATTTGGGCCTATTTTTCGTCTGTTGGGCTCAGGGTCTCTGGTCTAATTCCTAGGTCCTTGATCTGCTTTGAGTTGAGTTTTGTGCATGGTAAGAGATAGTGGTTGGATTTCAGTTTGCTACATATGGATTTCCAGTTTTCCTGGCACTATTTGTTGAAGAGGTTATCTTTTGTCCAATGTATGTTTTTGGATCCTTGGTCTAAAATAAGTTAACAGTAATTATATGGGTTTGTCTCTGTGTCTTCTATTCTGTACCATTGGTCTACAAGTCTATTTTGGTGCCAATACCATCCTGTTTTTGTTACTGTTGCTCTGTAGTATAGTTTAAGGCCTGGTAGAATGATGCCACTTGATAAGGATCTCTTCTTGCTAAGGAACACTTTGGCTATTCTGAGTCTCTTATTTTTCCAGATGAATTTCATGATTGCTTTTTCTATTTCTATGAGGAATGTCATTGAGATTTTGATTTGAATTGCATTAAATCTGTATACTGCTTTGGTAATTCAGTCACTTCTCAGAATAAGATATGCAGTCAATCAACAAATATATGAAAAAATGTTCAACATCTCTATCAATTAGAGAAATGCAAATCAAAACTACCCTTAAGATTTTTTTCAATCCAGTCAGAAGGGCAGTTATTAAGAATACAAACAACAATAACTATTGGCGATGAAGTGAAGGGAAAAGGAACATTCTTACATTGCTGGTGGACTGAAAATTGGTGCAACCAATCTGGAAAGCAATATTAAGTTTACTTAGAATATCTGGAATGGAACCACCACTTGATCCACCTATCCCTCTCCTCAGCGAGCTTATACCCACAGGACTTAAAAACAACTTACTACAGTGACGCAGCCACATCAATGTTTATAGCAGCACAATTCACAATAGCTAAATTCTGGAACCAAACTAAATGCCCTTCAATAGATGAATGTATCTTTATCTTGATCTGTGATATATACACACAATGAACTATTACTCAGCATTAAAACAGAATAAAATCATGGCATCTGCAGGTAAATGGATAAAGTTGGGGAATAAGTGAAGTAAGCCAATCCTAAGAAAAAAAAAAAGGCTGAATGTTTTCTCTGATAAATGGATGCTGATCCATAATGGGGAAGAGGGGGAGCATGGGAGGAATAGAGGACCTTTGATAGGGCCAGGGGAAGGGAGGAAAATGAGGGGGAAAGGGGTAGAAAAGATGGTGGAATGATATAGATATCATTATCCTAGGTACATGTATGAAGACAAATGGTGTACAACCAGAGTAAAAAAAAAATGTATTCCATATGTGTACTATAAATTGAAATGTATTCTGCTGTCATGTATAACAAATATACGAATAAATAATTTTTTTAAAAAGTGTATTATTCAATTTCCCAGTGTTCATATACTTTCTGTAGGGTTTTGTTCTGTTGATTTCTGATTTCATTCCATTATGATCTGATAAGATTCAAGAAATTTTATCAATTGTTTTACACTTGCTATGAGTTGATTTGTAGTTTAAAATATGGTCTTTTTGCAAGAAGACTATGAGCCATTGTGAGAAAAAGAGTATTCAGGTGTTGTTTAATAAAATATTTTATAGATGTCTGTTAGGTCCTTTTTATTTGTCATATTTTTCAGGTCCAAAGAGCCTTTACTTAGTTTATGTCTGGATGCCTATCACATGGTTAGAAAGGTGTATTGAAATCACCCAGTATTATTGTCCTGGCTTCTACCTGACACTTCAATTTGAGTAGTATCTCTTTTATGTAAGTAGTTGCACCCATGTTTGGAGTATATTTTTATTTTTATTATTATTATTATTTCTTATTAGATTGTTCCTTTTGCAAGTATCAAGTAACCTTCCTTGTTTCTTCTTATTAATTTTGGTTTGAAGTCTTCTTTTGTCATATGTGAGAGCAGTTACTCTTGCTTGTTTGGGGGTTCCATTTAGATTGTATATTAATTTCCAGTCTTTTACTTACACCTGTGCCTATCTTGCCTGTAAGGTGTATATCTTGCAAAAAACATAAGTTGAATCTTTTAAATTTATTCTGTCAATCTATGTCTTTTCATTTGAGAGTTGTGACCATTTACATTCAATGTTATTACAGATGTGTATATTAATTCTTGCCATTTTGATTTAATTATGATGTTTAATTTGGTTTTGTTTCTCATTTGCTTAGCTACTCTTCAAATGAGGTTTGTTTATTTATGAGCTCTTCTATTTTCTTCTATGTGGAGTATTTCATTAATTAAGTTCTGTAGTGCCAGTTTAGTTGTCATGAATTCTTTTAATTTCTTCTTATCTTGGAATGTTTTTATTTCCTCTTTGATTTTTAAGAATAGCATTGTTAGATATATCAGTCTTGGTTGACAGTTATTTTCTTTCATCACATCATTCCAAGTCCTTCTGGCTTTTAGAGTTTGTGCTGAGAAATCAGAAGTAATTTTGATTGACTTGACTATAAATG